ACAGGATTAAAAAGTGATACTGGTTTATCCTCCTGGGTAAAGAGATTACAGGCAGTTCCTGAGTTACGAACACCAGACTTACAGTCTGATTATTGTGTCAGTTACCCATGTTTACATACAATTTGAACTTAAGACCAGAGGCTAATATAGTAAGTCCCTGAGTTACAAACATCCAACTGACATACAACTTGCACTTACAAACAGAAGCTATTCCAGGTAATAGGTAAATGCACCTATTTTGACTTACATGCAGAATCAACAAATCTACACAACCTATCTTATTCATAACCCAGGGACTGCCAGTATGTTAAAAGGGACAGGCAGAAATCCATCAAAGCAATGCTGTTTTGCACAACTTAACGTTCCCTTCCACTTTCTTTGAAAACTATAAAAGTAGGGTACATTCATGTCTGTGACCCCACTTGAATTAGCACCCTAAATACTTAGGTAATACACACTACTCTTTGGTCAGGCTTCTGTTCATGTCTAATATACTCAACAGCCAGAATTATTTTTTTTAGACAAGAGTCTTACTTTGTGACCCTCAGTAGAGTGGCGTGGCTTCATATCTCACAGCAATCTTGAACTTGGTGAGGTCGAACCCATCAGCCCTGGTATATGTGGCTGGCGCCCTAACCACTGAATTATGGACAAGGAGCCTAATTTTTCTACTTTAAGTAGAAACAGGGGTCTCGCTCTTGCTCAGGTCAGTCTTGAACTCCTGAGGTCCATCAATCTACCCACCTCAGCCTCCCAGAGCATGAGCCACCAAACCCAGCCTAATACCCAGAAATTTTAAACATGGGAAAGAAAAATCCTCCTACAAAAAGAAAAAATTGTAAATAAAAATCAAATGTAAGGAAAAATCAGATCTGTCAACAAAAACAGCCTCTATTTATATTAACAAGTCATCTTTTTATTCTATTACAGCGGTACTCAACCTGTGGGTCGCAACCCCTTTGTAATAATGAAAATATACTGCAGCATTAGGAAGGTCGAGAACCACTGTACGAGAAAGCCAAGGTAGGACATCTGTAAAGGTAATTTTTATTTCCTACTCTGAAAGTATTTGTTAAATAAAACATTACCTTGTTAGTTTATTGAGATACGGCTCTTCAATGACTGAAGTCACACAATTGTCTCCTACAGGTTTCTCTCCACCTCTTCCCAATGGTCCCACTTCTTCTAATTCAGCATGTTTGGGAGCCAAATCTGACTCGTTGGAACCTATACAATCATTTCTTGCTGAAACCTCCAGAGAGCTCAAGAACTCCACCTTTTCCTTAAATTTAAGAAGAAATTAGCTAATATTACTCCAAAAACAATCTTTAGTTTCATTTTGTAGTTGGGCTTAAACCTCTAATTTTACACATACACACAGTGATGAGTTGCTAGTTTTTTTAACACTAGGAAGTCACTCACTTTTCATGAAAATAGCTGTAGTACAAAAGTAAAAACTAAATAAATAAATTTCCAAACTTACTTTTAGATGGAGCTGGGTGTCAGAATCTCCTTGCTGAAGTAAGTTATCTTCTGGCTTGCTTGCCTCACTCTGATCTGCTGTGCCTTTTCCTGTATCTGGCTTCCCTTTCTTACCGTGTGCTCTTCCCAGATTTGGCTTAGCCTTTTGAAATTTCCTTCGTATCACTGGGGCGGGACTAGAAACATACGGTTCATTTCCATGTCTAGAATGAAATACAAATCACACTGAAGGACAAAATCAGAATTTCTTGTTGATGTAACAGCTGTTAAATCAAACAATTTTGAATAGTAACCAAGTCTATGTTCAAAAGGCTATAAAACCAAGCATGTAAAATGAAACCACACATTGCTGATAAGAAAGTAAAAACATAAAAGCGTTTATAGCTTCTATTTTCTGTATAGCCTGGGGAACAGTATTACAATAACATTAGTCTTTTTTTTTCATTCATTAATTCTAATATGTAATTTTATGTTACTTTAAGTAATATTCAGAGAAAAAACTAGATACCCAAAAAATGGCAATAACTGAAAATAGAGTTCATAATGTCACTTTAAACAAATGGCTTCAGATGGGGTGCAAAGTATGAAAAAACAGACAACGGTCATACCCATGTTGGTCCTGAATCAAGAGCAAGCCTGAGAGCTAGAATCTATTCTCTCAGTACATGCCTGAAAGCTCCTTGAAAGGGTTTATTGACAGCCAACATCATAAGGTTTTCAACATTACCCATTTTTATCTGCCAAATCAGGAAAAGATAAGGTTTTAAGTCAACAGAGCAGCCACAGCTCCAAAAGCAACCCAAATAGCTATCTTAAGGTTTCCTGGAAATTATTTTAATAAATAGCAAGGATCTGAATTAGGAGGTTTAAAAACTAACATAAGCCAGGATTTTTTTTTTTTTTTTG